GATTTAGATTTACGTCCTGATGATTTTGTTTGACTAATTGAACGTGGAGGTTTATCAGGTGGTGTTATTGGACTACATCCATCAACTAATTGATTAACTAAAAAAAACCAAAAAAATTTTAATTTTATAACAAAATATTTAATAGATTTTTGTTTTTTTTCGAAATTATTATCAATATTTGTTTCTCTAATATGTTTTAGTTCTTCGTCATGCATCATATTAAAAGTATTAATAATAATGAAAAAAAAAAAATTTAGCAGATAAAAAAAACAACTAAGCATAGAGTCAAAAAGTTACTAAATATGCTAAAAGCAGTATCAAAATAAAACAAAAAATGCAAATGATTTATGTTTATTTCGAAAGTTTAAAAGAAATATTTTCAGTTAGCATAAAATATTATGTCTATGGTAATATTATTGTTTGTTATTTATGTAGAAAAAGCTAATAATATATTTTTTTAAATTTCTTACCATTATTAATCTGTAGAAATTCACCGTTATTACAGTTATATATAATAAGATCTCCACTTGCTAGATATTCATATATATATATATATATGTATTTATATAATTACTCGATTGTTTTATTCTTTATCCTGATTATTTAAATTGATAGAAACGACGCAAAACAAAAAGTAAAATAAAATAAATAAATATACGTACAAGTTAATGTACGAAGTCGACTCATATTTGGTGTTGTTGGTGTACTATTACTTGAATATGAACGATTAAATTGAGGATATGATGATTTATTTATTGAATTAGATGGTATTGAAGATGATACAGATGATGGAAATGATGGAGATATTGTAGGAATATTTGGTGATGATATTTGATCATTTGTTGGTTGATTATGACATACAGATATTAAATGACGAAAATCTAAAAATAATTCAATTTTACTATACATATGCAAATTTGACTATAAATAACACTATTATAAAAAATTGAAATTGCTTCGTTTCGGTTCATTCAAAATTTTTTTTTCATACGAATAATGTCAACAAATATTATTATCAGGTACGAAAAAAAAATATGTGTATTGCTCCAAGATGATTTTCACTTATTATCTATTACAATAAAAATAAAACAAACTTTATGAATGATTTTACATTGGTATACATAGAATAAATTTTTCAAGTATAGAACACCGAGTTGCTTGGAAGTGTATTCAATTCTATGTTTTAGTTATCGAACACAAATCTTAGCATTTTAATTAACTAATCTTGAACGTTAACTCGATCTGCATCAATGTAATATTATAAAATTTGTTTTAATTCTCTTAGGTGACAATTGAAAATTGTCTTCGAGCATTAAAAATGTATTTTCTCTATTTGAGCATTGAACTGACTCAGAAAAAAAAACAAACATCAGTCAATTTGAATGAACTGTAACGGATATTCTTATTGTATAGTGTTATTTATGATCCACTTGGTATATTTGTTTTTCTTTTTTGAAAACTTACTTGTTGGACTACTAATTAAAGTATTAGTACTGGATGATATATTATTATTTCCATTGAGAATTGAACGAAAAAATCTTCCAGATCTATGTGGTATTTTTGGTGTATGATGATGTGTACGTTGTTGATTATTTTTTGCTATTAATAATTGTAATTCTAATTCAACAATATGCATTTCACGTTCATATAATTGTTGTTCCCATTTTTCTAATTGTAAACGTTGATGATTTTGTTCTAATAAACGTTGATGAATAGCTTGTTCACGATCACGAATTTCCTTAATAGATTTTTATATTTATTAATTAAAAATAAATAAATAAATAAATAAATATATATAGAAATTTATTTTACTTGTTCTTTTTCTTTTAATTCATTAAACATATCTTGAATTTCTTGACGCCAATCTTTTTGTAATGATTGATAAAATTCTTCATTTGGTTCCATATGATTGATTTCATTAGTTGTATAATTTATTTCAATAATTTTATTTATTTGTTCAAATAAACTAGTAAATGTTGGTCGTTCATGTGGAGAAATTTTCCAACAATCTTTTAAATTTAAATGATTATATCAATAAAAACAAAAAAAAAAGAAATTTCTATCAAATACTTGACATTAATTGTGAAAATTCTTCTGGACATGTACTTGGAATGGGAAGAGAATATTTATTTGTTGCAATACCGAATGCAACTTGCATTGGATCAAAACCTTTATAAGGTACTTCGCCTGTTAAACATTCCCAAAGAAGAACACCAAAACTAAAACATGAAACAAAAACAAAAAAATAATAAAATAGTTCTTTCATACGAACTTTTAAAACTACAAAGTTTTTATTGAGAATAAAATTTCGAAATCGATTATTTTATTTAAAAAATGGATTTTGAAATGTAAACTCACGAGAAGACTGTGCAAATACTTAAGGCATATTGTCTCCTCACCTTGTACCTGTTCCATGATGTGAGACTGTTTATTTATCATTCGGTTAGACACTCTTATCTCATGAATGATAGTCACTGTCTACTCACTCTTTTCTCCCTCGCTCCTTCTCAGGTATATAAGCTCGTGAACATCTATACCAAGAATGACGGAAACGCTATTTCTCTAGTTTGTCATTGTTGATCACAATAAAATATATGATGTTATTGATAACAAAAGAGAACATCATCTCGCTTATTTTTGTTACAGGACCGTTTGCAGACATCAAATCACTTTTCGATTGAGACAATGTACATTTGATGAGTAATATAAAAGTCTAGAATGTTTTGGTTTTTCGAACCCTCGTTCTTAAGATAGAGAAATTTGACTGAGTTTTTCAACAAAAAGCTATAATCTCCTTCAAGTCACTTTCAACTTTGTATGAATAAAGTTTTTAATTAGATTAGTTGATTGTACAAGTTTTAGTTTTTCGATTGTTTCCTTTCTGAAGATATAAATAGAACATTGCCTCAATCAAAAAATAATTTGACACTTAGAGAAGTTTACTCACCAATTAATTATTCAATGGTTTCAAATATCTTATCTTTTGAAATCTTATGAATATTCTCAATAATTAATTCTTTTATAAATCTCAAATTATCATGATATTTATATCTTTTAAGATTTTATTCTTCTTTTTCTTTTGTTCGCCAAAAACAA